ACCCTCACCCTTCAGGGTCTTTCTTTCTTTTTTTTTTTTCAAACAACCTTTTTTAAAATTCAAATTTTAAAATCCAATTAATTAACATATAACGTATTACTGGTTTGTAGGTAGAGGTCAGTGATTCATCAGTCTTATATAATACCCAGTGCTCATTACATCACCCAGCTACCCAATCCCCCCATAAGAGACTCTTAATCATAAGAAACAAACTGAGGGTTGCTGGAGGGGGAGGGAGGAGAGGGTATTTCTTTCTGAGTCAAACTTCTACAACCAGGTTTTCCCCATACCTTGCTTTGACCTGTCCCCTGTCATAACTCTCAATGCAACTAATTACACCCACTGCACTTATACAGTTCCCCATTCTTACTACTACCTCACGTTTGCTTGCTGTAGCAAAATAACCCCCTTCTATACAGCCTTCAAGAACCAAGTCCACAGAACAAGACCGTTTCTCCCTAATTATTGCCTAAATACCAGTGACCCTAGGCTCAAAAGGGCCAACTGAATAATCTCAATTAACACCATTATTAATAATCAAACCATAGTAGGAGTCTTATGTGCACTACGTGGTTTTATCTTTGTCTGTGGTGAATCACTGGGCCTATGAATGTTTAGACCGGGGGGGGGGGGAGCCAATGAATACTAGGATTTCTAACTGTCCCCAGGGACATCCACAATAAATCTGAAGCCTTGCATAGGTTTTCCCCATTAAAACTTCACTGCCACATTAAAAGGTAACTCCCAGGAGGCATATGTGACTTTGGATTTGCCTCCATCAGAAGGGTACTTTACCCCTTTTGTGGACTTCCATGACAATGAACGAATGATTAGACATCTTCCTCTGGAACTGGGAAAACTTGCCAAACCCAGTCCTAAGGCAATAGCAGCCCAACAACAAACACTTGGTCACTGGCTAAAGTATAGGCAGGCATACCTTGTTTGTGCTTCACAGATACTGCATTTTTTTTCCCCCACAAACTGAAGGTTTGTGGCAACCTGGTGTCAAACAAGTCTATTAGTGCCATTTTTCCAAAAGCATTTGCTCACTTTGTATCTGTGTCACATTTTAGTAATTCTCACACTATTTTAAACTTATTATTATATTTGTTACAGTGATCTGTGATCAGTGATTATAACTTGCTGAAAGCTCAGATTGGTTAGCATTTCTTAATAATATTGTTTAATTAAGATATGTATTTTTTTAGACATAATGCTATCATACACTTAATAGACTACAGTATAGTGTAAACATAACTTTTATACGCACTCGGAAACCAAAACATCCATCTGACTTGCCTTATTGCAATATTTACTGTAATATTCGCTTTATTAGTGTTCTGGAACTGAACCCACAATATCTTTGAGTTTGCATATAGCCTTTGATTACCTACTTGCTGAACCAGGAAGCATTTATGCAATAGCAAACACCACCTGTTGCACTTGGATAAATCCTCCAAAGTAGAAACCCAATCACATAAAATTACGGAACAAGTACATTAGCTACAATAAATTTCATCTGAAGATCTAGGGGCCTTCGCTCTCTTTAGCCAGTCACTTTCGGGTTTGGGCTCCTGGTTCAGACTATTATATAAACTGGTGTCATTATTCTGCTCTTCATATCATTCTGTATAATCGTTTTTAAGCTTTGTACCTGTTGCCTGTCAAAACCTTGTAGAAAGGACATATCCAACAGGATGATGCGGCAGCCTCAACACTTCAAAATATTTCCAATGCTTATAACCTTGATAAGATACAGACTTTGAATGAATATCTGAGAGTTCTCTCTCCCACTGTTTCTTGTTACTCAAATGTGGCTTCAGTGGTTTCCAATCTGTGCACCTCCCTCTGATGTGGGACATGACATACAGGAAAGATCCTTCCTGGCACCAAAGGACAAAAACAATTCTAACAAGGAACAGATGGCTCAACTTTTGGTCAGTGATGCTAAGAAAGGTTTGAAAAGGTGTTAAGGAAACGTAACTCAAAATTGGAATTTTGGAAACCATGAAGAGATGATTCACACACATAGCACCTGTCCAAGCTTGCACTGTCCAGCAGTAAGAAGAAAGGTTTGCTCTCCGCCCAGGTACAACAAGCTGCCCTCACCTACAGCCAACGAGAAGCTGCCACCACTTCAAATTCTCATTTTCTTCAATGAACTTTTGTTCAAAACAGACCCTCCCAAACTTCCTCCTTTCCTCTATAAAAGGACACACCTACTCTGCTCTCAGGACTTGCCTATGGTTCACCATAGTTTGCTTGTCTTGAATTGCAGTTCCTCTGCTGTTGCCAAATAAACCTGATTTTGCTGCCTGAATCACCTACCTTTTACTTTTAAAAGGTTGATATACCCAATTGAAAATGGACAAAAGGTTTCAATAAATATTTCAAAAGTGACATAGAAACTGCTAATATGCACATGAAAATATATTCAACATCATTGACCAATAGGGAAATACAAATTAAAACCATAATGAGATACTACTTTCACACCCACTAGGATGGCTACTTCAAAAAGACACAATTAACAAATGAAGTTCTGGAAAAATTAAAACCCATATACATTGCTAGGAACTTGCATGTGCAAACTTGTTAGGGTGGTATAATATGGTACAGCCACACTGGAAAAGTCTGGCAGTTTCTTAAAAAGTTAAACATGAACTTATTATACAACCCAGCAATTCCATTCGTAAGTATCTATCCAAGAAAAATGAAAACATATGTCCAAAGACTTGCACATGAATGCCCACAGCAGCATTATTCGTAATAGCCAAAAAAGAAGTAACGCAAGTGATGAACAGATAAACAAAATATGGCATATCCATACAATGGGATGCTATTCAGCAATAAACAGGAACTATTGATACATGCTACAAAATGGATAAATCTCAAAAACATCATGCTAAGTGAAAGAAGCCAGAGATAAGACAGTACTTATTTTATGAATCCATTTATATGAAATGCCCAAAGGCTAACCTATAGAGACAGAAAGCAAATCAGTGGTTGCCTGATTGCCTAGCTGAAAGCCACAGCTAGGATCAACTAGGAACTTGCATGTGCAAACTTGTTAGGGTGGTATAAATGTTCTAAAAATGAACTGTAGTAATCACTGCACAATTCCAAAACCCTAAATTTACTAAAAATCACTTAATTCTTTAGAAAACAGAGTACACAATGTCAAAAAGGTGATTTCCACATGAACTCTGCCTCCCTATAACTAGAGAAGGGTACCAGGAAGATTACAGATGTTCCTATTTCAGAGATCTCAACAGGGAAATGATTTCTACATACCCAGCAGAACTAATGAAGAGCCTAAGAGAACGAACCAGTTAACATTGCAAGGTCTCTTCCAAAAAAAAAAAAAGGTATTTAGTAGAAAATGAAATGCTCAAGATTTGTAGTGTTCTCTAACTTTTCTGATAAATTTTTAAGTTTTTTCCTTCTCTATTTCTACTACATTTTTATTGAAACACTGTAAACTCAATGTACTTCTCCCATAGGTGTTCCTTCATATTAAAGTCAGGATCCATAAACAAGAACAGAGAATACACATACCCCAACCTAAAATTTTATAAATCCATTTGGTACTGATTTCCAGCCTGATTTGAGGCTCCACCACTACCAACTTGGAACTGCCACACCATGTGTGATTTTTCTGGCTCTCTCTGTGGCCTAGGTAATCAATCCAACTTTCTACTGGCCAGGCTGGCCTCCTTGTAGCTGGTTTTCATAAATACAAAATTTGTATAATTGTTACTGGAACTACTTGCTGAAATATGGAACTGGTTTAAAATACCATTTATTTTAAAATGTACATGCACAGTTTCACATACATGCAGCAACAAAGCTTCCACACCCAGCCAATAAATCAAGTTAATGCCTTTTTTTTAGAGAACAAAAAATTCCAATATAGTTTGCCTTCCTTTTCTGGAACCTCAGTAAATGTTTTTCAAGAAATCAAGAGGAATATGACTGAATAATGAAAAAGATTAATTAAAATGTAATATATACTAAAGTATAATTAGTCCAATTCTAAATAAGCAGGACCTAACTTTAACCCTGGGGAAAGAGGCCTCTAATAGAACTAGGAAGAGCAAATTCTGTTTTGATGCAGTCTTTCTTGTATATGCATATGAATGCTTCTTTCCCTGTGAATCTGGCACAGTCCATTATATTGAAACATCAGTTTGATTTAAGTTTAATGGATAAAGTCACAATGAACGTGTTTTCTATCTAAACTTATGTAATAAATGATCCCAACACATGGTATGAATTCTATCATTTGTAACAACCTTTCCTCCCCTCTTTAAGGGAATAATGAGAAAAGGTTCTGAGCTGCACATCACTGAAGGTGAGTGACATTCATAAATGGCTGAAGTTGGGTGGCCCAAAAGTGCCCTGCTCACGTGATAAATGGTAAGTCAATCACATCACAGTTAAGATGCACTAAATGGACAGGTTATAATGAAACCGGGAGCCAAGGAGCTTTCCAACAGTTTCAGATTAGGATAAAACCACTGGCACATACAGGTCTTTGCCGGAAAATTCCTCGGCCTCTTTCCTTAAAATTCTGGTCCCAAATTCCTCATGTTTCAATAAGTCCTAATCTTTTCCTCTTCCAGACTTCTAACCCGTACAACATAACCACAGAAGGTTCATGGTTGTAAAAGCGCCCACGTAAATACAAAAAAGCAATCCAAGAAACAACATCTCCCAAAAAAATCTCTCAGGGATTTGGACGCGATTTGGCCTAGCGGTCAAAGAAAGAGAGTTGCGGGGAGACGGTCGCCGATCAGAACCTCCCTCCCCTTGTGCGATGAAAGGCCTGGAGGGCGGGAGGGGTAACAGCCGCGCCCCAGGCTTCTCTAATTGGGCCTCGCCCCCTCCCAGTGCCCTGGAGGCAGGGGGACGGAGAGCAAGCGGCCAGCTGTAAGGGTGATGGGTTAGAAGAAGAGAGCTTTTCACAGCTCCCACGGATCCGGGGTGAAGAAATTCACCTTTGCACCTCTCCTTTTAAGTAGACAGAGCTGCCAGGGTTCAATGAACAAAAAGAACCGAAACGCCCATTCCCAGGTCTCACCGCTCCGGGGGCTCCCTTCCGCGTGACCCCTGCGCCGGCTCCACCCCCGGGCCTACCCCGCCCCCTGGGCCCGCCCCCTGACCCACCGACCCGCCCCTCCGCGGGCTGGCGCCACCTCAAGCCTCTACCCACCTCCCCTCCTCAACCCTAACGCACGGCGGGGGCTCCGCTCACCCACCTAGATGCGCAAAGCGCGGCGAACGTTCTCGCGAGTCTTCCCTCCCTACTCTCCCCCTCCCCACCCCCATCCCTAGGCTGACGCGTCGGCCAGACCCCCAGGGAAGCAGCAACCTTCGCTCTCGTTCTGCGGCCTCTCTTACCGGGTGGTCTGCGCCAGAGCTGCTTCAGCAGTTTGGGCAGTGGCAGAAAGGACGCCTCCGCCCGGGTTCTGTGGCTTGCAAATTTGGCTTTGCCCCGGACTGGTTTTTTGTTTTGTTTGACTTTTTTTGGAATTTTCCCGCGGTCGCTCGGCAGTGGAGCGGCGCTCGCGCGCTCTAGCCCCGCAGTGCACTCTGGGGCCTGGCGAGCGGTGCCGCGCGCTTCCGCGGCATCGCGGGAAAATGCGAGGAATCTCGCGCTCGCGGTGGGGGGGACGCGGGTCTAGCTCCGGCTCGCCGGAAGTCGGCCCGGCCCGGCCCGGCCCTCGGCGGCCGGGCGCGCTCCGCGGCCGGTGGGGGAGCTGGAGCTGCCTTACCTTTCCAGGGTCGGTGCTGGAGTCACGGGCGAGAACTAGACAGAGGGAAAGACCCGGGAGGGAGAAACCTGGGGTTTTTAATCAGGTTGTTGCCCAGTGTTGCAAGATTCAGTCCAAAATGCAGAGGACGTAAAATGGAAATCAGTTTTTTAAAAGAAAAATTGAAGCTTTGTCAAGGGGTAAAACCTCTAAACAAGGCCTAGCATATGGTTTGCTAGCTGTGGTCATACACAAAAAAAGGAATCTTTTTTGGGTTAATAATCCTTCCTGTCCCCTCCCAATCAACTCTATACAGTGTGAATCGGTTTTAGATAAGTTCAATGAAACCACTTAAATAAAAGCATTTTCTGTAAAGTTCCGTTATTTTAGCTTGTCTTGGTGAATTTTTTTTCTTTTTATTCTTTAATTTAGTGCACAGAGGTTTTTCATAGATGTTTAAGTTGTGAAAAGAAAGAATCTGAGGAACTTAACAAGCTTTAGATTTTTTTAAATCAGTGCCTCATAATCTTAAAACTACAACTTAATGGGTGCTTTAAAAAAAACTTACTGCAACGCAGTGTATGCATGTAATAAAAATATTCAAACACAGCCTTCTGTGATGAAGGAATACCCATTTTATATAAGAAGAAATTGAATACAGGGATTAGGTTACATCAAGCTTACACAGGTCCTAAGTGACAAACTTAGCATGTAGGTTAGTGGTAGCAACAATCTTTTTTTCATAAAGGGAGATACGAAAGGAACCCAATCCAGAATTTGAGACAAAATAGGCAGGATCTGCAGCTGTATTAAGGAATCAGGTGTTAAATCCATTCTTGAAAATATTCCCTGCCCACTAAAGAGGTCTATGCTATATTGATGGGTGCATAGTTCATTGTGGGTAAATCCAAAGCAGAGCCTGTGTAGGAAGATACCTGCTTGAGTGACACTCATTATGGCCTCATTGGCCATAAGGAGAAAGTCATTGTGTTTGTGGTGACAAATGTGAGCAAGTTAGTATTTAAGACTTGCTTCTACCAGCAAAGGAAACAAGCTGTTTATTTCCTTAGAGAAAATATCTATTGTGGTACTCAGGTCCCTTTACATATTTGCTGAAAAATTATTTCTGATATTTGTAGCATTAATAATTGAGGTCTCGGGGTGCCTGAGTGGCTCAGTTGGTTAAGCATCTGCCTTCCACTCAGGTCATGATCCAGGAGTCCCGGGGATTGAGCCCTGCATAGGGCTCCCTGCTCAGTGGGATGTCTGCTTCTCCCTCTCCCTCTGCTCCTCCCCCACTCGTGCTCACTCTCTGTTTCAAATAAATAAATAAAATCTTTAATAATAATAATTGAGATCTTGCCATATTGCAGTTATATGTCTTTTTGATTTAGTGGTTCATAAAGTTTTGCTAAGCTAATTCAACTTTACTGTAGATAAAAGGATGTCATGTTTAGGCCTAGTTTACACCTAAATTGGTAGCATGTACAGTATAAATATATAAATGTAAATTTATGGAGATTTATAGATGCTCATTTTATTTGGCATCCATATGTATGGAACTATCCTAATACTTTAAGCAGTAATGAAATCAACATTTTGTAAAATGCCTGAAAAGTTTCCTGAGAAATACTGAGATAAAAATCCTAGTTTTGGGGTGCCTGGGTGGCTCAGTCAGTTAAGTGTCTGCCTTCAGCTCAGGTCATGATCTCTGGGTCCTGGGATGGAGCCCTGCATGCGGCTCCCTGCTCAGTGGGGAGTCTGCTTCTCCCTCTCCCTCTGCCCCCCTCTGCCCCGCTCATGCTCTCTCTCTCTCAGGTAAATAAAATCTTTAAAAAAAAAAATCCTAGTTTTAATCAGCTTGTAACCCTGAGTATATGTACCTCTAGAAACAGTTTTGGTATAGTACAGAGCCTAATCATACTTAAATAATGTAGCAAAAATGAAAAGCAGCATGTGTAGGTGAAAATTATTTCATTCTCAGAAATAATTAGAATTTATTCTAATGGAATCTATCCATTAGAATCATTATATTCTAGGGGGAAAAACATCACAGGTGAGTGCTATAAAGTACCTGATATCAAATCTTCTTTTAAAATTCAGCAAACAGGGCGCCTGGGTGGCTCAGTTGGTTAGGCGACTGCCTTCGGCTCAGGTCATGATCCTGGAGTCCCGGGATCGAGTCCCACATCGGGCTCCCTGTCCGGCAGGGAGTCTGCTTCTCCCTCTGACCCTCCCCCCTTTCATGCTCTCTCTCTCTCTCTCTCATCCTCTCTCTCTCAAATAAATAAATAAAATCTTTTTAAAAATCCTTAAAATGTTAAAAAAAAAAATTCAACAAACAAATAAAATCAACTGTCTTGGAGTCTAACCGTTGTAGTAAGACTCATATTTCCAGAATTAGTCCAGACACCCACCTAGTTTTCAGCTTTCATAGCACTTCAACACTGTATTGTCCACAGCTCTGATACTTGCCTGTGCTATCTCAACTGTGAATATTTAATGAGTATTTAAGTTCAGGCACGGGGCTGATGCCTTGAACTGATTATTTTAATGATTACAGTGATCTTACGTGGTAGGTAATATTCCAACTTCACAGCTATTGAAACTGATGCACAGAACAGTCTTTACTAATAGGTGTAGTACCTTCAAATCCAGATAGATTGACTCTGGTGCTTTGCTTCTTCCCACTTGCTATGCTCTTGCTCATTCTCCAGGCTGGGTACCAGACCACTTCCTAAGTTCTTGATGGGGCAGAAGTCGGGGAGGGGGCGATGTGACCCTAGAGGCTTATATAAGGTAATCACCACATTGCTTTTTTCTTAAAACATTCTGTCTGAGGAAATGTACATGGAATTAGAGAAGAAAACAATAAGAATGTGCACAAAATACTCTCAGAAATGGTGCAAGTAATAGTGAAGGTCTTTGATCTGCCACCCCAATGGGGGAAAAGCACCAGAGATCAAGACACTGAGGGCAGCAGGAAGTGGAAATTAATGGAAAAAGGGAAGTGTATTATAACTGTTGCAGGTACCTCTCCTTCCCCTCACATGCTCACTGTTTAGGGGCTGCGGAAAGAATGCACCTTAAGAGGACATATTTGTACTAATTGCCTCACTCCTTGCCACAGCTATTTGAACTAGGAATGGTAACCTGACCCTCACTGAATCAGTGAAGCTACTGCTGGGGAATTTGGAATGGCAAAACCCAGATTGTACCACAGGAGCTAAACCCCCATGCCAGCCAAACTTACTGGGGGAAGAAAAAAAATACAAGCAGTAAAGAAAGTTGGTTCAGAGAGAAAAGCAGAAAAGAAATTGAAAGGCCATATTAATCCATGAGAAATAGAGATAGCTTCTATTCCCAGCTTTTTTAAGCCCAATTTTAAGGCAAACTGACTATATTTATTTTTCTGTTCTTAGCTTTCTGTGAGATTCCCCTGCATTTTCATAACAATTACCCCTTTATCTAATCTTTCAATGAGTTTCTCTCGTTTTTTTATTTTAGAGAGAGAGCATGCGTTGCACACGAGAGTAGGGGGAGGGGCAGAGAGAGAATCCCAAGCAGACTCCCCGCTGAGCATAGAGCCTGATGCTCAATCTCACACCCCTGAGATCATGACCCAAGCCAAAATCAAGAGTTGAACACTTAACCAACTGAGCCCCAGAGTTTTTCTTTCTTGCTGCAAAGTGTTAACCTTAAAAATAAAACTGTCAGTTATTTGACCAGCAAAAAATGGTTTTATTTGGGAATAGCAAGAGAATTGCAATTGGGGACATGCAAGCTTCTGCAAAACCATAGGCAACTTTGGAGAACAAAGGAGAGGAATACTCTCTCACTGAAGAAAAAGGTAGGGGGGTGGATTTTGAGGGACTGTTATAAACCAAAAGCCCAAATTGGGAGTTTCAAGTGTAGTTGCTTTTCATTGGTTGAGTTGGGATAGTCTCTCATTGGCTGGGCTGTTGCTGGGGCAGGAGAAAATCTGCCTCCTGCTGAGGTAAGAAACTCTACGCTTCTTCCTGTTGCGGGGCGAGGGTTCCTGCAAGAGGACAAATGGTAGGGTGAGAGCTCCCACTTCTGGCCTCCTGTCTCCATTTTAAATGTAGTTTATTCAGTTTCACAAAAGCAAGCCCTGACTAAGGACCTGGAGGTGCCAGCTTGTCTTTGTGTCTCTAGGTGTTAGCACTTTGGCTGAGATACTTGATAAATTAATCAATGGATTACCTAGTGAGAACTTCTAAGCAGAAGGCATGACGCATGTAGGCTGTGTTGAAGACACAGATCCATCTGAGTATCCTGGAGCAGGGAGAAATCTTGCAGGTCACCTATGTAGTCCAGGAATTCCCTACATTT